TGGAGAAAGTATTAAGAACATTAACAAAAGGACCGAATATGAAACTGCCAGCAGATCAGGAGATAACAAAGAAAAGGAGATCGAGAAAAATGACTCTGAAGATAAACCTATGAGAATTACAAGAGGTAAAAAAAAAGTTGTTAACCCTAGCCTTAACTCTTTTAAGGTAAGTGGTACTAAAAGTGTACCGGAAAAAAAAAACGTTTACATGGGCAGTGGCTTAAAAAATGTACCACTTAATCAAATGCATATTGTATTAATGGCAGCAGTCTAAATCGTCGACCAACGGTGATTGGCGCTTACTTGATGCTAGAGAAACGCATTCTTAGTATTCTGCCGGCGGCGTTCAATGTAGGCTGGTTTGAGGTTATGTCAATTGTTTTTATACGTAAATTATAGTGTTTTTAAGTTCAGAGGTGAACAAAGGTAAATAAAATATAGAGCTTTCTTGTTGTTTACATGCTAAGTCAAACAGTACAATCTGTAGAATATACAAATGACAAATAACTACGGTTTAATTTTTTTTTGGCTTTCATAGCCTACGAATTGTTGTGGTACGATATTTGTACCATCGCCCCTAAACGTTTTGTTTGCAGGTGGAATCAATCCATTACCATGAATGAATTACCTTTCAAGTTAGTCGGCATGACGTATGATGAGTTGTTGCACGAGATCGAAAATTTGGACGCAGATCCTATACCTTCTGATTCTGAATCAATTGTGGATGTATCTGAAGATGAATATGAAATTACAGAAAGAACCAATGCTGATTTGAATATAGCAGACACCGATAGCGATTCAGACGACGAACCACTTGCAGTTTTACAAGTACGGTTACTATCCAGTACCAGAGATTGGTCAACCAGTACATCACCAAAAAGCCCTGAAGATTTTGTTGCCGATTCTGGAATCACAAATATAGTGAAGGATTTAGAATCACCCACACCTGGGAAATTATTTCAGCTGTTTTTTGACGATGATCTGTTAGATTTAATTGTGTTTGAGACAAATTTGTATAGTCAGCAAACATCTATCAAACCCAAAACCACAAACCGCACGGAAATCAAAACTTTTCTAGGTATCAATTTACTAATGGGGCTGAAGAAATCACCCAACTATAGAGATTACTGGAGCAGTTCCCCGGAATTTCGCGACTCGTATATAAGCTCCTTGATGCCTGTAAAACGATTCAGTTGGCTTCTTTCCAATATCCACTTGAATGATAATGCAATAATGCCAAAAAAGGGTGAAGCTGGTTACGATAAGCTGTATAAGCTAAGGCCTTTGCTAACAGCATTGTCTCAAAATTTTGAACGTTGCATGAATCCAACCAGGGAGGTAAGCATTGACGAATCAATGATTAAATACAAGGGTAGGAGTTCTCTGAAGCAATACCTTCCCAAAAAACCGATCAAGAGAGGGTATAAGGTATGGATACTGGCGAACAAGAATGGATATTGTCAGAAGTTCCAGATATATACAGGAAAATCAGAAGATACAGAAAAATCTTTAGATGCAAGAGTAGTAAAATATCTCCTCAATGGCATGGAAGACAAGCATCACATTGTCTACTTCGACAACTTTTTTAATAGCGTCCAGCTCTTAGAAGATCTGAAAGCAAAAAACCTTCACGCTTGTGGCACAGTCAATCCGAATAGGAAATTACTTCCCAATTTCACAAGTGATAAAGCTTTAAAACGTGGTGAATCTCAGATTCTAACTTCGAACACTAATTTGGTAGCTATAAAATGGCGTGACAAAAGAAGTGTTCACCTTTTATCAAATTTTCATGATCCCACAGGTTTTACAGAAGTTGAGAGGAAAAACAGAAATGGTGTCATTGAGAAAGTCCCCTGTCCGATTGCATTGATCGATTATAATCAGAACATGAACTTTGTAGACAAATTCGATCAAAATCTTAATGTTTATAAGATTGACAGGAAAGCAAAGAAGTGGTGGCACCGCATTTTCTTCTATTTCCTCGATGCAGCACTTGTAAATTCGTTTGTCTTATATAAAGAACTTAACATGCCAAAATTGTCAATGAAGGACTTTAGAAGAGAGGTGATTAATTTCTTGGTTGCAGAAACCATCGTGGCAAAAAAAAGACAATCATCTTCATCTACTGGTGTGGCTATAAAAAAGCAAAAACCATATGTGCCTGTGGAAGTGAGAATCACTGAGAGTGCGCAACAACCTAAAAGGGACACCAGACGCCGATGTGCTAGGTTTAGCACCTCAAAAAAGCAGGTTAGGACTGACTGGATTTGCTCAGTGTGCGAAGTACCTCTTTGTCTAGCAAAAGACAAAACTTGCTTTCAAGATTATCATAGAAAATAATTTATATTTTAGTTTCGTTATTGTGCGCTGGTACATAAACTGTACCACCAGTTTTACCACAAAAATTGTTAAAATAACTATTCTAGTTTATTTTTTATGTAGTTTTATAACTTTTGTTTAGCTGTTTTGATGCTTTAAAGTTGAATAAAAAGACTTATAAATTCTTGCCCCTCTAGGACTTTTTTTTATGAATATATCTTGCCCCTGAAAGAGTTAACGACGAAACCACAAGCAGAAGACCGAAAAAAGATCAAACTGTTGAATCTGTGAAAGTTACTAAAGGTAGACAGAAAAAGGCTACACTCAATGAGGAAGATGTTGAAGAAGAGAAAGATCCTACCTATTTTAGGAGACATGTGTTCATGGAGGTAGCTGAATTAAATGAAGCTACTACGCCTGTTCAGCACCGGCGATTAAAAAATAAGAAACTAAAGGAGATTGAAGGTAAATTCTAGAATCATATCAAAATAGTAAATATACAAGAATCAAACCAAGCGAATAACCAAAATGTCTGTGTTATAATATGGTTCACGGGTTGATGACGTCAGTTACACGAATCGCTTGAACGCGTTGGTTTTAACCGCGGTTTTGTTGCAAGTTGTTTATTTTAAAAAAGCGCGTATATAATCTCTGATTATTTTTATTATAACTTAATAATCGGTGCTTTTTCGTCTACAACTGTGTATGGAAAGTTTAAACAAGAAACCTTTCAAGTTTGTGATTCATTTTAATTTTTAGATGGGATAACCATAGTTGGTTATATTACTATCTCCAATATTCTGTTGACATGAAATATATGGAGCTTGTAAACATGAACATTTTGGATCATACTGCCCAGATCTACAGGGTGTCCCAACAAAAATGGAAAGCGGTTTACGAGCAAACTGGAAAAGATTTCAAAAATCTGTTTTCTTTATAACATTGATATGTTACCAGTGCATATTTTAAAATCAATTTAATTTATACGGGGTGTTCCATAGCATGTATTGCCTAAATAGAATACACTATCTTTTATTGCATATTTCGATTAATAATTGTTTAAATATTTAGTGAAATGTCTGAAAAAAATCCCAAATTTAAATTTTAGCTCACAAAAATTGTATCATCGATTTTAAGCTGATCTGAAAGAAATGCTAAAATATCTTTCTTTTTCCTCAGGGCATCTCAAAACGTAAAATGTGCCTTTTCTTATAAATTTCAAATGTATATTTGTACATCATTAAATCGCCTTCCTTGAGATTTTTTTTTTATATAAGGTTTATACCACTTTTTCGAACAGTTTTCGACTTATTGATATTCATTCAAAATAACATCCAAAAATACGGCTTGTCAATTACCCAATTCTTGCGCTCTTTTTATCTTATTGATGCGTAACCAACGAACAGCCATTGAATAGCTTAATTTTGTATTTTTAAATTTAACTTAATTTGCAGAAGAAGAACCAAAAGATCAAGAAGGGCAAAAGGCGATTACGAGAAATACGGAGAGGAGTTTGTATCGGAAAGTCCTTTAACCGCAAAACGACGACGCAAGAAATAGAAATAAGATCTGACATTATTTTTATTTGTTTTAATGTAAATATGTCTTGCGTTTTTATTCGTATAGTTTATTTTTTATAAATGCAATGTTTTAATAACGAATTCCTTTAGTGTTTGTACAAACATGATCTTAAATTCCATAGCTTTTTCTTAATAGTACCATTCCTAGAATTCATTCCTACAAAAAATATGACGTACTACCTTTTAATGTGACTTCAAGAATTACACGGTGAGTTGACAAGACAGTAAAACAAATCATCATAAACGTTCAACTCTAATCGAGGTAAATGGTAATATTAAAAGCTTTTAATCATTCTTTATTGAACACAACCACTGCATAACATATATCCGTATCTATATTTACAGATTCTAGTCCATGATTCTATGGCTTCCGTCTATTTAAGGTACATTAGCGAATTCACAATATTCATTGGATAAAATCATACTTTGGGTAAAATATATACAGGATGGGTTTTCCGTGTGTAATAGCTCAATAACTCCATTATTTTCAAAAATAATTAATCAGTTATTATATACAGGGTGATTTATTACTTTTTTAAATGGAATGCTACTTTTTTATAGTATATTCTACAAAAAGTTTAGCGCTTGGATCGCTGCTTCTGGAGCTACACGATATTTTATGCAAAAAACAACTAACTTTGACAACTTGTAACTCAGACACTTTTTAAGGTAGTGTAACAAACAAAACGTTTCAAATTTGTATATCTATACAAAATATACTAAAATATCCAGGACATTTAAAAATGTGATGCACTGCAATTCTTTGTAGAGATCGGCATATTTCCCAGATAAGGAGCTATCACTTATGTGAATAACATTTTTGGGTTATCTTTGGTGATAATGAAGCTATTGACCAATTACATAAAATGCAGCTTGTCTGTGGCTTGACCAGCATGACTATTTTCACATGACAGTCAGAGAAAATGTAAAATACAAGGGATGTCTTTTAAGTTTTGCATATAGAAACATAGTAGGCCGCGCGGATCGAATGTCAGTACTGAATCTTAACCTCACTCTTTAGTAAACTTAAGTTCAAAGTTTCACAACAATACGTGCAGCGTTCTCACTACAGTGAATTTTCAAGTGTCACCAAGTCATTAGAAAAATGGAACTCAACCGAGAACATTTTCGCGCCATAATTTATTACAATTTTCAGAGACATTTATCGCAACAAGAATGCCTTGCTGAGCTACTGTCTGTTTTCGGCAACGAAGCGCCACATCAGTCGACAATTTCCCGTTGCTATGGAGAATTCAAACGTGGACGGGCGAGTCTTAGCGACGATCCCAGTGTGGGTGCACCAAAGGTCACCCAGGAAAACGTCGATGCTGTGCGCAAACTCATCATTGAAGATAGACATATGACATGTCGGACGATTAAGGCGTCCTTGAAGATCTCAAAGACCTCAATTCAAAAAATGTTACATGAAGAATTAGGAGTAGGAGAATTAGTTTCTCGTTGGATACCCCACCTGTTGACTGAAGGACAGAAAGCAGCCAGGGTTAATTGGTATCAAAAAACGCTTGACCGTTTCAATTCCGCAAACTCAAAAAATGTGTACAGCATTGTTAGTGGTGATGAATCGTGGATTTACTGTTATGAACCATAAATTAAACGACAGTCTGTTGTTTGGGTGTTCCAAGGTGATGAAAAGCCAACAAAAGTCATCCGTTCTCGAAGTGTTTCGAAAAAGATGGTCGCGACATTTGTGTCAAAAGCGGGTCATATTGCAACAATTCCTCTTAATGAGCAAAGAGCTGTTACTGCGGATTGGTATACCACCATGTGTTTGCCAAAAGTCATCACCGAGGTTCGAAAAATCAACCGCGACAGAAGAATCATCCTCCACCCAGACAATGCAAGCTCACACACAGCCCAAAAAACAAGGCAGTATTTAACGGAAGAAAACGTGGAATTATTGGACCATTCTCCATATAGTCCCGATCTAAGTCCTAAGGATTTCTTTACTTTCCTGAAAATTAAAAACAGACTGCGTGGTCAAGGGTTCCAGTCTCCAGAAGAAGCAGTTGACGCATTCAAAAATGCCGTTTTGGATACCAGCAAACGAGTGGAATAATTGGTTCGAGCGCATGCATTTGTGTATTAATCTTCGTGGAGAATACTTCAAAAAACAATAAAGTCATTTAAAACTACCTACCGTGTTGTTTTATTTCCATATGCAAAACTTAAAAGACATCCATCGTACAATTTTTCGCGATGTAACATAAGTTAGTCATATTTTTTCTCATCACCTATTGCCACAGAATAAAGCGTGTAAGGTATATTGAGTAGTTTATGAAATCCGTGCATGCAGTCTATCTTCACATTGTTCTTTCTGTACTCCATATATTTCTTTAGAATAACTTGATTCATTTCGATCACCTCACTGTGGTTCATAAATTCGTCGATGTCCATCCATTGTGCGTTTTCAATTTCTCGATCACACTTGTGAATATCTTCAGTGACAGCATTTAGGCTGATGATGACGTAAATGTCAGAACAGCCGAACATTCTGTTGTGCGCCTGTCGAAACGTCACTATAGAGTCGAATTCTGACATAACGCTTGTCTCTTCGTATACTTCGCGGATTGCTGCATCTGCCAAATTCTCACCTGAAATAAAGTATCGGAAAGGTATAAAGTGATCTCGGTACATCGCTGTTTGTCTTCCTCACTATGTCTATTCACGTCTGAGGAAGACGACTGATATCACTTTCTTACATCCATCACACATACAAATAGTATGTATAAATAAGTATTGACGAAAGTGAATGTTTTTGGCGGCATCGTTAGATTATTGATTCCTATTGAATTGATAAAAAAAGTCCTTTACCTCAGTAAAGTAACAAATAAATAGAAAATCAGGTAGACTGGTAGCAAAGTCTAACCGCAGGCTACTCAACCACCAGCGAGTTCACTCTGAGGGATGAGAAAAAATATATTTTTGTTCACTGAGAACCAAATTTGACCGTTGCCAATACGTTACACCAGTTCCTTGAATTAGTTGCATGCTGAAAATATGCGTTAGGTTAATCCCTACGCGTAAATAATTGTTATCGATTCCGGATCGCTCCTAATAACGCTCCATTTTATGTCGAAATGAAAGGTCATGTTCGCCACAAATTCTGCACCATTGCAACATTGGTTCGCTTGGCAAAACCGCAGGGTTTCCACTTCCATGATCATAGATAAGCTGTTTAGGTCAGTACCCATCTCGAGCTTCAATGGTTTTCACCTGCATACACTTGGGCAGTGGTAATTTGTATTGGGTAATGGTATAACTCAGGATGTGTGGATTTTATCACCATTGGTGGAAATCAAACACAATTCTAAAATAAATTACAACACTAAGTCACATCAGTGATATAAAGAATTTTGATCTAAATAAAAACAAAATAAATGTTCGAACCTATTGTAGAGGCCTGTGCGAAAATTTTCTGGTGTAACTATCTCTTTTTTAACATGTGTTGATGCACGCCTCTCGTACACATTGAACTCTAGCCGTCAACAAATTTGATTTTTCCAGTATGATAAACGATCTATAAGCTAAATTCAAGATAGAAGATAAATATTACACAAAAAGTAAGCAAACAATGGAATATACATAAATATGTAATTAGTCTGGTTGAAGAAGTAGGTTCCTAATATGACTGAAAAAAAGTAACAGGTGGGCTGAAAATTCCGTATCGTTTCAATGAAAAAATATTTTTTTCGTCAAAATTCGCTTTTATTATTCAACATAGTTGCCTTCAAGGGCTATACAGCGATTATAACGTTCTTCAAGTTTTTCGATACCCTTCCGGTAGTAATCCTTCGGCTTGTCCTCAAAATAGGCTTCAGTTTCGGCGATGATTTCTTCGTTGCTGTGAAATTTTTTTCCGGTGAGCATTCTCTTAAGGTCTGAGAAGAGGAAATAGTCGCTTGGAGCAAGGTCCGGAGAATACGGTGGATGGGGGAGCAAATCGAAGCCCAATTCATGCAATTTCGACATCGTTTTCATGGACTTGTGGCACGGCGCATTGTCCTGGTGAAACAAGATTTTTTTTTTCTTCATTTGTGGCCGTTTCTTGGCGATTTCGGCCTTCAAACGCTCCAGTAACACTATATAATAGTCGCTGTTGATAGTTTGGCCCTTTTGAAGATAGTCGATGAAAATAATTCCTTGCACGTCCCAGAAAACAGAGGCCATAACCTTGCCTGCTGACTGTTGCGTCTTTCCACGTTTCGGAGGTGGTTCGGATGCAGCCGTCCACTCGGCCGACTGGCGATTTGACTCCGGTGTGTAGTGGTGGAGCCATGTTTCATCCATGGTGACGTATCGGCGAAAAAAATCGGTTTTATTGCGCAAAATCACCTCCAAACAGGCCTCAGAGTCGTCGATGCGTTGTTGCTTTTGGTCAAATGTGAGATTGCGCGGCACCCATTTCGCACAGAGCTTTCGCATATCCAAATATTCATGAATGATGTGACTGACACGTTCTTTTGATATGTTTAAGGCCTCAGCTATGTCAATCAACCGTATTTTGCGGTCTCCCAAAATTATTTTGTGGATTTTTTTCACGTTTTCGTCCGTAACGACCTCTTTTGGGCGTCCACTGCGTGCGTCGTCTTCAGTTGACATGTGACCGGTACGAAATTTAGCAAACCACTTGCGAATGGTTGCTTCGCCCGGGGCAGAGTCCGGATAACACTCATCAAGCCATTTCTTGCATTCGACGGCACTTTTTTTCATCAAAAAATAATGTTTCATTAACACACGAAACTCTTGACTTTCCATGGTTTTCAAAAATAACAAAAGTAGCGTCACTCTCGATACGATAACTCAAAAACTAATGATCCGACAGCTGTCAAATTTTGACAGGCATCTTTTGAAGGTTGGTACTAGCTAAGAAGCGTATGGATTTTATTCTGGTGGCGCCATCTCATAGAAACGATACGGACTTTTCAGCCCACCTGTTATATGAGTGGAAAATGAATGGTGAAGCCTTGTCATAATTTTCACTGTCCATCGAGTAACTTCTTTTTAATTTATATTTAATTTTATTGACTTTTAATTAATGACAGCAAATTGTATGTCCTGATAACATTATAGACGAAAGATCTTACAGAACAAAATAGGCGATGTTGAGGCATAGTGAAGGCCAAATGAGCTGAAGAGCGGGTTGAAAAATTAGCGCATAGAGAATCATAAGAGTAGATGTTATTCAAAAGTTGATGAGTGAATGTATTTAAATGAAGATTTCCATGTTTAAAACCAATGACACTACTTGATTTTATATGAAATGTGATCATACTTCTTAGTCCCATACACTAACCTGCAGCAGCTATTCTGGATCTTTTCGATAATATTGTCTAAACAAGGACAACCATATATAAAATTACGATACTAAAATGACTCAAAACTAGTTCAGACAATGTCCTCTTCATTTTAAGATCAAGTTGCTATAAATTAGCTTCAATGATGCTTAAGCCTTACTTATGAGTGTTTTTACATGCTCAGAAAAACGCAAAATGCTATCAATAATAAGCTCCAAATTTCTAGCATAATCGCTGACTACAACAAGAGCACCGTCAAGCTGGAGTCTCACACTATTTTATATTAAATTAATCGGTTTTGAACCAAGAAATAAAATTTTGGTTTTAGTTGAATTCGGTTGTAAATTATGTGACTGAAAGTGTTTTAATCCTAATCCTCTTATCGATAGACCGGCTTCACGCAACCCGACAATTCGACCCCTCTGTCACTTAACTGGGCACCTGACGAATTCTACGCACTCTAGGCATTTTGAGCAATCAGAAAAAGGCTTCTCAATAAGCTACACGAAATTTAACATTTAACCGACACCGTAAATGTACGAAAACTGAATGCTTCTGTATCACCAAACAATACACGCAGCCACCACAAAAAGTTAACAGAAAAACCTGACCATTTCATCACTTGCTCATGGCAAGATAAATCGATATGTACCTTATTTTGTCACTCAGTATATCTGCACTGTAAATTATAAAGAAAAGAGGACCGAAGATGGAGCCTTGCGAAACACCAGATAAAATTTCGATATTATTAGGATGAGATCCATTTTCAGAAATATTTTATGAGAAGTTAAAAAAAAATTGCCTTGGCTAAAACCATAGTATCTAAGCTTCATACAAAGTAACAGTTTAAACCCTGATCACGCGCTGTTAAAATATCATTAGTTGCAGGGACTAAGGCTATTAATAGCAAAGTTGAAGTATTATGGCATAGATCCAATTGCATTGAACTTTTTTCGAAATTATATATCAAATCGTTCGCAGTGTGTATCAATTGAAAACAATAAATCTAGTTTTCTAGAAATCTCATCTGGAGTACCCCAGGGGTCTGTTTTGGGTCCCTTGTTGTTTTTGATATATATTGCTGATCTGCCTAAGGCTGTGAGTTTTTGTGAACTCCAGTCTTTTGCGGATGATACTCAACTGGTCCATTATTTTGATACTGATGATATGGAAATGGCACAGACATCAATAAACCATGATATTCAAAAAGTGTATGACTTCTCGAATAACCACAACCTGTCAATAAATCCTGGTAAATCCAGCCTGTTATTTTTTTGTTCGGATCGTAGGAGGGAAGAAATTAAAAGTCGATTAACTATTAAAATTGGATCTCAACAACTGTACCCGGTTGACGAGGTTAAAATTCTTGGCGTGATAATCGATTTCAAACTTAGATTCACCAGTCATGTTAAAAACCTTTTGAAGAAAACCTACTTGAGACTGAGATCACTATATGCCAATAAAGCAATTTTCAATTATAAGCTAAGGAAAAAACTGTGTTCATCTTTGGTTATGCCGATTTTCAACTACTGTGATATTTTATATTATCCGTGTCTCAATGTTGTTACTAGAAATCGGATTCAAATTGTGCAAAACAATTGTGCTAGGTTCATCTGCGGTTTAAGGCGCTTTGACCAGGTTTCTGGTAGTCTTATTGAATTAAACTGGATGATAACAAAAAATATTGTCAAATATCATTACCTTGTTTTTATTCATAAACTAATCCTCATGTCAAAACCTATATACTTAAGAGAAAAGCTGATCTTTAGGCGTAATATTCATCATAGACTTATTAGATTTCCAGATTTGATAACTACACCTAT